TCTGGCTGAAGGTTTCAGGTGGTACAGTAGCTATTGTGATACCAAACATTTAAACAGTATTAAATGACACTATATGAGACATTTTTCAAAATACAATTTTAAAACCATTCTCCCAAAACAGAACAAGATTATTTCGATGCTCATATATGTGCTAATACAACAAATGACAACTGAGTTCCTTCTCAAAGATTACGATTATTTAAAAAAGAAGTCACATTTTCAAATGCTACTCACATTTAACTGTCATGTAACGCGATGGTGACTCTTTTCCTGAGTACTGACACTTGTAGAAACCTTCATCAGACTTTGACACTGCCAAGAAGTTCAGCTCCTCTCGGGAATCATTTTGGACAAGTTTGTCATTGTGATAAAAAGCCACATTGGGAAAGATTTTTTTTCTTCTCAAGTTGCAACTAAGACTAACAAAAGTTCCCTCATTCACAGGATCAACAGGGACCACCATGAGAGGACCAGAATAAAAGTCTGCAAAACATACAGAAGATATTGTTTCAAATGGACCAGCTGGTGCTGGATTTTAGAAAATAAAAAAGAGGGAAAAAAACATGTGCAATAATAATTACTGATTGATCAAATGTCTTATAGCTTATAGCTAAAGATCTGATATGCGACTTATAAAAAAAAAACAACAAAATCGTCCTTTCTTTTAGCTCATAGAGCCCTTTCAACTGTCAAGTGTGTCTCAGTGAGATGCTATTCAGCCTCAGCTGAATGGGGAGTACAATTACATCATAATCATATATATATATAAATTTTGGTAAATTAATTTATAAAACATGGAATGAAATAAAACTAATAACCAAGAGTATTATGCTGCTGAGTTGAGATTCCAAAAATAAAATAATCTTTACATTTCTGCCTCTTTTTCCATGAAAGAATCGCTTAACATGCATAGTGATAGAAATATTCATGAAACGTTATAACACTAAAGGGAAAAAAAACATTCTACAAACCCTGTAAAGTGATGTTGACTGCATTGCTGAACTCTTTTAACATAGACTCACACCAGTACACTCCGTCATCTGAATATGTTGTGTCGATTGTGCATACAGATTCTCCTGACAGCCAAAAGTTGCTACAATATGGCCGGCCATTCTCTGGGAACTTCCTCACTCTCCATGAAGAGGAGTTTCCCTTACAAGTCAGTTTGACAAAGTCAGAGCCAAAATTTTGCACTACAGGGCCGACTGTGAGAGACGCTGCTGATGAAGCATCTGAAAAACAACATGGATCAATAAGTGAAAGCACAGGAAGAACACATAAAAACTAAGCATCATTACAAGTATTGAGAGACAGAAAGAAACTGACCAGCAGACCAGACAAACTTTGGATCGCTGTAGTAGGTGTAGTAGTAGTTGCTTCCTCTTCCAGCTCTGCACACATATCCTGCTGTGTGTGTCTGTCCATGAATGATGTAGGAGTCCTGTGCAGTCCCACTGCCATCAGGTAGCAGCTCATAACTGGAGGATTTCTCTGATAGATCAGGAACAGCTTTATACCAGTAGAAGCTCCATCCTGCAGACGGATGTTCAACCTCACAGTTCAGAGTTACTGAGGCTCCAGGACTCAGCCATGATGGAGACACAGTGAGGACAGGATGGGGTTCATCTGTTCAAACAAGATTTTTTTATTATTACAAATTTTTTTTTTTTTAGTTTAGGCTTATATATTTATGTATTTTTTAAAATAATATTGCTAGATGATAGGTCTGCAAATCAGGCCAGGTTCACTCTGTCCTTTTGAACACTCATCTTATTGTATATATATATTATATACTCATCTTATCATCTGGTTTAGTGTCTGTTCACTTTTGAACAAAAACATTTAAATAACTGGATGAAAACATGTAAATAAATATCACCAAATCTTGACAGTGGAATTACAAACTGTACCACTGTCATACATAATACTAATTTGTAATTGTTGTCATTTGAACCACACCATGTCACAATAAGCTGTGTGTGGCACACATAAAGTTACACACTGGAGAACACAATAACAGACACTGAGATACAACTGGAAAAACACGACATTTAGATTTGACAGACTGAGAGGGAGTAAAAAAAGGGAAATTTGCACAAAGATGCTGAAGACAGAACATGGAGATCAGACAAGGCATGAAAAAGGGAACCAACATAAAAGAAGAAATCCAGTGCTATAGCTACCAAATTCAGAGAAAAAACACACATTCTAGAACTGGAACATAAATAATTTCTTAACTCCAAGGCAAAGAATCACATGTTCAGAACAAACTCAAAATACTGGGTCATTATTTAATGAATCAGTCAAGTGACTGGACTTCTTTAAGTCCATTCAATAAACTTAAAGAAGTCGAGTTGCTTTTCTTTCCAAGCTCCTTAGGTTACCATGGCCTGGATGAATGAGAATCTGCACAGACAAGTTATTGTATGTCTTTTTTTTTCTTCTTTTTTTTTAATGCTAATTTGGATGAAACAGTTTATATGGATGAAAGATGCCCAACTTACATGATACAGTTACTGGAATGACATTACTCCACTGTGTGAAGGAAAGATCCGTTTTGCCTCTGCATTGATAATCTCCATTGTCATCCCAACCAACATTGTAGAATGTTCTTTCATTGGTTGTATAATATGTGGTAAACCTTTTTGGTCTCCAATCATAGCTCCAGTAAGTTCCTTCACCTCCCTGGATGTCACATCTGACAGTGAATGTTTCACCCATGTATATCTTAGTCCAGTTGGGCTTCAGGGTCAAAATGGCCGTAATAGGAACTGTTCACATAAAATATGAAATTAAAAGAAACACAGAAGCATCAACTAATTCAGTCCAATTAAATTTATTTACATAGCACCAAATGATGCCAACAATATATATATATATATACACACACACACACAAAGTCTCTCTGTCTGGCTGAGAGGAAGACAAAACGAAGGACAGATCACATAATCTCATAACTTTAACTTCCATAACTAAGAGATAAATAGAGGAACTTACGAGTGTCTTCAATGATGGCAGCATTACTTTGGTGTGTGATGCTACCTGAATCGCTTCTTCCTCTGCAGTGGTAGATACCTCCCTGTGACACATTAATAGCTTTCTTCCCTTCATATTCTGTCATAGGCTCGTCTTTAGAGCCATATGTGGCAGCTCTGTACCACAAAATGGTCCAGTTGTCAGAGCCGTC